GATTCTTACACGTATGGTTCACTTATTAGTGGGATGTGTAGGGATAAAAGACTCGAGGAGGCTTCTGATACATTTGAGAAGATGAAAGAAATGGGGTTGGTTCCTAGTGCTGTGACTTATAATATCTTAATTGATGGTTATTGCAATGGAGGGGATTTGGCAAAGGCATTTCGTTATCGGGACGAAATGGTAGAGCAGGGTATATCGCCAACAGTCACAACTTACAATATGTTAATTCATGCTCTGTTTATGGAATGTAGTATGGGCGAGGCCGATGATTTGGTTAAAGAAATGGGAGAAAAGAGGTTGGTACCTGATCAGATTACCTATAGCATCTTAATTAATGGATACTCCAGGTGTGGTAATGTGAAGAAAGCATTCGGTTTTCACGATGAGATGTTAACCAAGGGGATTCAACCGACACCGATGACTTATACTTCACTTATCTATGTTTTGAGTAGACGGAATAGAATGATAGAAGCCGATAATCTGTTTGAAAAGATATTGAAGAAGGGAGTCGTGGTAGATGTGGTTATGTTTAATGCATTGATTGATGGCCACTGTGCCAATGGCAACATGGAGCGTGCATTTTCGTTGTTGAAGGAAATGGATAAATTGAATGTTCCTCCAGACGACGTGACTTATAATACTTTGATGCAAGGTCATTGTAGGGAGGGAAGAGTTGAAGAAGCACGTGAGTTTCTCAATGAGATGAAACGAAGGGGAATTAAACCCGATCACGTTAGTTACAACACTCTGATTAGTGGGTATAGCAGGAGAGGTGATATGAAGGATGCATTGAGGGTTCGTGATGAGATGACGAGTACAGGGTTCGATCCCACCCTTCTTACTTATAATGCACTTATACAAGGTTTTTGCAAAAACCAGGAAGGGGATATTGCTGAACATATCCTAAGGGAGATGATTAGTAAAGGAATTACCCCTGATGACAGCACTTACTTGTCTTTGATAGAGGGGATGGGGGAAATTGGTCAATCTGTAGAAAATAGCAACTCTTGTTGATTACGAGCACAAACAGAAGTTTGCAGAATTGTTCATACTGTATTTGCATGTTTGTTCTCCTAATGCATGCAATTCACAAACCAATTAGTGACAAGAAGAAATTTTGTAATGCAAGGGGAAAAGCCTCCATGGAAATATTTTTATGATATGATAATAGATCTTGAATATATTTAAGTGACCTTTTCTTTAGAATGTGTGGGAGTGAGTAAAACTTGATTACATTCAGTTTTTTTTTTTAATTTCAAGTTATTTGAATTATTTGAGTCAATTCAATTTTTTTGCTTGGATTTCAAGTTTGAGTTTATAATTTTAAGGATCAAATAATTGAATTTTTTATTTTTTATTTTTAAATTTCTCTTTCAGTCCTATGAGTGCTGCGTTAGTTTCATAGAAAAACTTAACCAATGCTAAAGATAGCCGTAATAAGAAGTGAAGATCTCACTCCTCATCTCATACTAAATCGAAACAAGGGAGTAAGTGCACAAATTCAAACGCAGAAGAATCATAGCAGTATTGACATAAAAATGGCTGCAAAAAAGTACAACTCGCATGCAATTCCAATGCACATGCCTCGAGAACGTTTCTTATCCGCAACTTTTAAAATTGCTAGATGCTGAAGATTGTAATGTCTGGTTCAGTCTCAGCCTAGAGCAACAGAAATGAAATAATACTATTTAGAATTCAATAAAAGTAAATACATTACCATGTATAAAGGTTAAATCATTGATTGCCTAGCTTGGTAGCTCAAGTTTGTAGCCCTACTAGTGTTGGCTTCTCATTGCAGCACACGCATCTGCTTCATTTGTCTCTTCCGAGTTCCGATGTCTTGTACACACATCTGCTGGTTGTTTTATTTATTTCATGTGAAGCAAAAGATGCACTGATGTTTCCCATGGGAAAATTGAGGTAATCGCAGTAACAGGCTAGATGAATCCTTAGGGAAAGATTTCGAGGGCCAGAATCTGCATAAAATTCTGAACTGTTAATTCTCCGACCAACATTTTAGAATATATTCTCTATGATAATTCTTATATAAGAACGGAAAAGGGGTGGGGAGAACTCTGTCCACTCTGCTCAAGAATATTCTCCAATCCCCCAAACGCCATAATCTCGACTACGTTAACTTCACGTGTGGGTTTTGTGTAAGCATCACTTGGCCCATGCACGTACAGAGCCTTCACCTACAAATAGGTAGGCCAGCTTTCTATTGCCTAAGCATCTAACCACAAGGAAGAAATAGAGAGTCGGCTGTCCTCTGGAGTTCCTTCGATCACTTCACTGGGCTTATGGTGTCTGCTGTTCCTACTGAAGTGTTTGGGGGATCTCTGGGTGGCACCTGACACTGATAATTACAAAGATGAACATTCAAAGCTTTTGACTATGAAGGCAAGGTTTGTGGATATATAATCTTCTTTCCTCAACTCTACACAAATTATCATGTTTGTTTTACGTACCATGAGTCTGGGTAATTTCTTTGCTATTTGGCTTGCATTACGTGAATTTGAAGAAACATCCTTGTTTCTCTCTTGGCGTGTTGCACTGCGTTGTTAATCTTTACAAGGGTTTGATGGATCATGAATGAAAAACAACATGATGGGATCATTCATGGTTAATACAACAAGCAATGGGTGATTAATAAAGCAATGATTTACATTTCGAAGATTGTGAATTCGGACCAGCTGAAGTTTCTCTGTTGATCTGATTATGTAGACATCTTCCTGAAAACGTCAACTTAAAACGGCACCATCTCCTACAAAAATATTTTTTTTATCAACTAGGGATTAAACTACAAACCCACCACATATCTCCTCAATTCATCCGAATCCAACTAATTGTTGATCTAGAACTTATTTGTGTTGATCCTACAACAGGCGACTACATCACCTCTACAATCAACCCATTCTCCTCACAAGAAACTGTTTGTTTTAGTCTCATTCTTTTGCAAAACCGCCACATACTTGGTCAAGTGCTTGCTCCAATGCTCGCAAGCATCGGAATCAACACGTCCTCTCCTTCTTATAGCATCCACATTCAAGAAATTGTCGATCGTGTCGTGGACTTGAAACAACAAATTCGGCCTTGAACATGGGATATTATTGTGAAGCTTTGTCTTTACATTTAAAGATGCGACTATTACTTTTGGAACCGGAGACTGATAACAGGTGCTTTGGCAGTCTTGGCATTAGAGTTTGAAAGCATTAACAATGACATTGAAGCTAAGTCAGGTTTTGTTATTGAATAGACACATGAACTATAAGTATTTCGTTTTGGTTTGATTTGTTTCTTATTAAACCTAAACTAGTTGCAGTTGCAGTTATTATCTTGTAATAGCATCAAAAGAGTAATTATTTCCAATTTTTGCATTCAACATTCTGGTATTAAATTGTTTCTTAAGAAAACTGTTATTAAATTGTTTCAAACAGAAATAATAATAATAATAATAATAATAATAAAGACAATAACCCTAGAATCTTACATATATACATAATTGTTCCTGCATCCACCACAAATCCCATTTTTTTCACGATATGTTATTGGTTTAGACATTGATTCCCGTGAGACAGAAGATGCTGGGATAACTCCATTGACAAAGATTAATGTAGACGCAATAATAGACTAGATGGATGGATCCCCGGGAAAGATTTTCAGGTCAAAAGTAGCATAAAATTCTAGCCATTTCTACTTTTATTCTCCATCCACCATGTTTACTTCACACCCATAGAATCTAAGGAGCCGTTAAACATACATAAAGACAACTCCTAGATAAACATAGCTTTATAACAGTTTTCAAACTACGACACTGACACAAGTGTAGGAAAGGAGCCACAAAATCCTCTTATGTCGAGACATTTACTAATGTAATCGGACGAGAGATTTGACTTAGGTGGTGTTTGTTTTTACTGTGTAAGGTCTGCAAAGCTCTTATGTCTGCGCCGCGCAGACCACGCACAGACATTGAGCTTCGCAGACCGTTTGTTTTTTAGAAGACAGAAGCTCTTCTAACGTCTGCTCGTGGTCTGCGCGGCGCAGACCAGAACTTATGTCTACAGACGTCTTCTAACCTCTTCAAAGAGGTTTTATATTTAATTTTATATTATATTATATTTGATTTTAATTTTAATATTAATTTTTTAAATAAATTAATTTTTAATATTATATTATAGATATTAATTTTAATATTAAATTTTTAAATTTATTTTATATCATATAAATTATTTTATATATTATTAAAATTTTATATTTATTTTAATTATTTTGATTTAAGTTTAAAAATAATATTTTTTTTGGATTTGTTATTTTTAAATTATATTTAAATTTTTTTTATACAAAATGTAAATATTTAAACCACATTGCTTAGATGGTGTTTGTATAAAAATATAAAAAAAATTAAGATTTACAAAATATGAAATCATATAATTTATAAAAGTATATTCTAAAAATATCATATAATTATAAAAATAAATTATGAATATATATTTAAAAAAATTAAAAGTATTACATAATTGCATATTTAAAAAAATCATATAATTTAATGATCATTTATAAATTTTATTCTATAAACTTATAAAACTAATAATGCATGTGATTATGTGAGATTTATAATAGAATTAATAAAGTGATGTTTGTTTTTCTAAAAAAAATTATTATTGTAGTTGTATGAATTATTTAAATTCCAATATTGTAAAACTAAAATTATATTGCAAAACTCTTTTAAGTTTAAAAAATCAGTTTATTTTATATTTCAGTTTATTTTAGCAGTCTGCAGACGTTAAAAAACAAACAGTCTTCTTCTTGCAGACTGCAGACTTTTGGTCCACCTCTTCTGCTGCAGATGTCTGCAGATGTGGTCCGCAGACTGCAGACCTTTTACCTCTTCAAAAACAAACACCACCTTAGTGTTATGGATACAGAATACGGTAAACCCTACAGACAACTTACAGTACCAAACATGCATCCAGATCTCTTAGAGCCAGCTCTGCAAATCAGCACACTATATTTGTCTCGATATTAAATGGAACAAAAGGATGAAACGGGGATCCGAAAAATTATACATACAAACAGAAAAGAACCAAAATAAACCAAATAACCAACCATAACATCAAAAAAATATTTACCCATCTACACTCCTGAAAGTGCCAAGGAAACTTAAGCATACGCCAAGCACACTATATCCGCAATACAAAGTGCAAAATGAAAACACATAACAGAACTTCTATTAAGTTGCATCTATGACTGAACTCCATGAGAACTTCAACGAAACAAATCTTTGCCCAAAAATTACCTCTTCCACTCAGCTCTGACCGCCTTATCTGAAATTTCCAAGTCAACAATAATGGATAGTCATCATGCAGAAGCAGCATACAGGGAGAGAACCTTACTTTAATTGAATATGAGAAAAGAATATTGATAAAGATTCATATAGCAAAGAAAATGACTATCTAGTTCGGATACCATCCTCAAACCGAAACTTGCATGCTAATTACTACATTGAAGAACCACAAGAGCTTGTTTAACTACACATGTAGACATGAACTTGTGTACAACGATAAGAGTCAATTTCCATATCCTACTTAAAGAATGGAGAAAAACTAAGCAGCATATTCATAGGCAATACTGACATTCATAGGCCATAAAGCATCCAATGTTAAGTTGTGTTTAGTGCTTACCATTAACATCTTTAGAGGATGATTGAGATTTGTCACTGGAGATAGCGCCTTTTCCAGCAACTCGAACCCGTGTTTGAGCACTTGAGGACAGTGAACTTGCATTACTATTGGTTGAAGATGGCAGAGAATATCGCCTGTTTAACTCATTTTTCTCAACAACCTCATGGGTAAACCTTGGGGAACCTTGCCCCTTAAGTCTAGCTTTTACAGATTCAGTTGGTGCCATATAACTGGGCACTTTTGGATTGTTATTAAACCCATTTGTCTGGTTATTAATTTTTGCAGGGAAAGAAGCTCTTCTTTGGTTTGCTTTTGAGCCCTCATCACTGACCTGCTCATCCTTAGAGTTCGACTCCCCTGTCACTGACATGTGCTCAATTTTACCATTGTTTTCAGCAGGTGGCAAATCAACAGCAGGACAGACGTTAGGTTCATTAAGAGAAGCATCTTCTGAAGACAATTTCAGATCTGCCTCAAGATTTGAAAGTTTTGATATTGTTGCAGTCACATTGCTCATCTTCTCAGCAGATTCCTGTTCTGAAACATCAGGGTTATTAGAACTGGAAGCTTTTTTCAGAGGCTTCTTTGTTTTCTCATTAACAACCTCAAACTTATCAGCAACCTCCTTTGAAGGGTCAGAAAGCTTTCTTAAATTGCGCTTAACCCTCCCAAGCTCATTTTGTGGATGCTCCCGAACTGAATCAACAGCTGAGTTGCCAGAAACTCTCCTCAGTCTTCGTTTGTTTTTCTCGTGCTCCAAGGTAGAATGACTACATCCATTGACAACTTTGGCATTGGAAACTTTCCGAACACTACGCTTTGTCTTTCCACTCCTACTTGGTGTTGATGTGGATTCCCAGAAACGTGACTTTGTCCATCGTTGAAGCCACTGCCAGGATGAGTTGGGTTCCTCTGGACCATACTGAAGCCGTAGAGGTAATACGGAAGGTGATGAGGCCAGAAGCTGAAAGTGATGGAAATGCATAGTCACATACAGTTTGGAGAAGAAAAAAATCATCGCTAAGTTTGCCCATCTCAAAGAAAAAGGAACCAAGAGAAGAACTAAATCTTTCATGCAAAAATATTTGACTAATGATGCTAGAATTCTAAAGTTTAAGCACTTGGAATAACAGGATTTTTTTTTATCATTTCATGATGTTCAACAGAAAGTGCCACACGTGGGGACCCAAAATAATTAAAGGCATTTTCTAAGATTTAAGTCCTCTGAGCAGAATAAATTAAGCAAGCATTATCAAGAACAAAGAGTAGGAAAAAGGCATATAGATAAACAAGCTTAAAAAGAAGAAGAAGAAGTGCAGGGGGGACACCCAAAATAATAGGCATGATTCTCAGAAGGTGAGATGCAAGACTCGGGCATGGAGGCTCTCAAGATAAAGATGGGAGGCACCCAAGATAACGATGGAGGCTCTCAGGTTTAAATAGGAAAGATGTCTCTATTGTATTGATATCATAAACATTAAGCACCCCAGAGGAAAATAAAAAAACACTAAAGACAACAAAGAGTAAGAATATCCGCAATACAAGTGCAAGTTTGAAGCACCAGAAATAGGAGCAGTGATGTGCTCACAATATATGAATCAAACAACTAGCGTGGTCACAAAAGCAGGAATTTTAGGAGCATGAAAATGTCCACTAAAGGCCAAACATCATGAACTTTCTATCAGCAAAGTTCTTGTTTACATGGTAAGCAGAATCCAATAGTAGTACGAGAAAGTAAACCATACCTTTTGAACAAACACATTATTTGATAAGTTCTTCACCTTAGAAGATGTGCTCACTCTGACAGAGTCCACGCTTTTAGAGCCCTGCTTAAATAAATAAAAAATAGCTAGCTTAGAAGCATGTTGTGTAATTAGCTACTCAAAATGCCACATTATTATTGCAGGGTGACTATATCAGTGCCCATGTTAATATCGATATAATCACACACAAAAATACCTTTATTCTCATAGACCCTTTACAAAAACAATAAATATAACTAGGGTGTACAAGGTGGTGGTTAAGTTTTTGTCAGGATAGCAAGAAGGGGCAAGCAAGCCATCATCCATTGGTCAGTTAGAAAGATCACCTGAAGCAGTCTTCGATGTTTTTCCTGTACGTCAATGGCAATATTTGAACATCTGACCTTTTGACCACGAGCTAGTGCTTGCAACTTAACAATTCCCCATGTACAGCATAAAGTAGCAACAGTTTGTCTTCTAACCAAGTGACCACGAATAAGTGCTTGCAGCCTTATGATGCCCTTGAGAGTTCGAAATGCCCGGCGAGCCTTCCAACATTTCATATTGTCATCAATAAAGCTACACAATTTTAGGGAGGATAATAATCCTAATATAAGGACATGCATAAGTTGACAGCAGATTCTACCCATACTTTTCAAATTTTGCATTTAAAAGTCATATAAAAACTATAAATCAGTAGGTGGTCAATTATTTACAGATTGAAATATCTCTAAACTTCAGTATATTTGTATGAAAATGATCTATGTATTAATCTGAAAACCAAGTTTAGTCAAATGAGTGGTTGACTACCCAAGTTACTGTAAATTGTAATCAATCCCTCAAAGAATTTTCATTCACTTACACTTCCTATGCTCGTTTTTGTCAACAGCAAGGGGCTAAATTTAATACACACAGTAAGAGAGTATGAAATAAATATAAAACATAGAAGCAGCAGCCAAATGTAGAGTCTGGCATACCATGAAAGTATGAATCGATAACATCTCATTCAATCCTTGCATATCCTTAACTTTAAATAAAGACAATCATGACCAACAACATAAGGCATGATGCATAGTGACAAGGTTTGAATATTACCACCCAAATGCCAACTCAAGCAAAATAAGCAGAACAATGACATGCATTCAAGTTAAGTTGCCGCCAAAAGTAATTAGCTTTCACACAACTGAAAGAAGACTATAGTAGTAAACAAACTTCATTACCCTGCATGACCTTTAAGTATAACAATAACTTTTAAAGGGAGAGTAGCTACCAGATAACCTCTGAAAGCAGCCTGTGCTGTCGCAGCAGCTTGGTTAAGCCTAATCCTCTCAGGATCTTCTGGGTTTCCAGAATCACCAGCAGTGGCATCATTTCCATCCGCTATTGGAGATGGAGTATTTACCCCATCATTTGGAAATTGGGCAGGTATACCCTTCTCAGAGTCCACCGCAATCCAAGCGCTGCTCACTGGAATGGGTGCTGAAATTGATGGAGAATCCGCTGATAGGTCAGATACAGTTACCTTTGAAGAAACCAAAACCTCGCCTTTATTTGCAGAACTCTGCACATAACAACAATTAGAATATACAGCATTTCTGATCTTAAAGTGCTAATTACTATTTGAAGATAGTCAGTGCTATCTTACCAGCTTCTCTCTTCCTTTTGAGAAATTGGACTTTGAAGATTTCTTCCCAAGAAGCAAGGTCTTGATCCATTTTGCTGGAGATTTTCCCATGTCAATTGAGCCCAGAAATAAATTAAAATCCCAAGTTTCAAAATCTGGAAGTCTGCAAAAGTCATGCCCAACTAAAACCTCAGAATTTAGCATGTTAGTATTAAAATAAATGAAAGTTCTTTAAAAAGAATATAGCATTTTAAAACAACCAAATGTTCTCAATGTCTTTTAACAGTTTGTAATTAATGGCGGTCAAAATGTTACTACACTACATAATCAATAGCTCGTAAGTTACAATAAAAGACGAAAATATAATTCAATAAGAAAAACACAAATTGATACGAACCGGATAGCAACTGAACCTGTAGAACTTACACAAGCAAAATAAAGCCAAGAAAGTTGGAAAATTTACGGTAATTTAAAAAAAAAAATCGTAATCTTAACAGTACAAAGAAAAAGACTAATGACATTAGTCCACGTCTACTTAAGTGAAGGAAAATAATATAGCTAAAACCAGTAAATAAAATTCAAATAGAGGGGGAGAGAGAGAGAGAGCGTGTCGGTGGAACTGGAAGTCAAAAGCTTTTACCTGAAAAATGCAGCAAACTTGAAGCTTTAGTTCGCTAGTAAGCTGCCACTCCTGGGGAGAAATGTAAATGGTAATCATTCAGAGATCTGAAGAACGAATCTCGTGTTCATATTTAAAACTATTGTTTCAAGCTTCAAAAAAGGAAAGAAAGTGTAATAGCAAGAACAAATAAAAAAACTGAAGCATTGAAGATCGTACCGCGATGGATTCCTCGAACAACAAGATTCTCCAGCAATTTCTTTTGTTTTTTCGGCCGGGCAGTGGACTGGGGACTGAATTTCAAATTAAATTGATGCTAAGCTAAGAAATAGATGAAAATGGCCTGCAAAAATCAAAGAGTTAATTGCACTTGACATCCCTAAATTATCTCTAAATTTTAAATTGATTCATAAAATCTAAAACATTCTAATAGGAATATCAAATTATTAATGTTGCTTTAATTAGATTTTTTTATCGATCTATCTGTTGAACATTAAATACAAGTTCAGATATGAAGTAAAATATAAATATTAATTTAGATATTGTATGAATAATTTGAAGCTAATACGTAAAAAGATATTATAATATAAAAATTAATAAATTAATATTTAAATCTAGAATGATAAAATAATCCGATTGAAAAATATTAATAATTTTAAGATTAAATTAAAATATTTAAAAAATTAAATGTTATAATATGAATGTGCAATTTACGAAATTAACTAAAAAATGGGTAAAATAAACCACGAGAAGATGGTGTAAACTATAAATATTTGGGTAATGTGATCCGCGGGAAAGTCTCACGTGCGGTAACCTTAATATATGGTTAAAGAAATGAGTTATCGGTTTTGTTATTATTTTTTTTAATAAAACCGGTAAAAAATTACTAGAAACATTATTATTTCTACTGGTTTTGTTATTATTGGGCATTTTACCGGTTTTGTTAATATATCCGGAAAAGTACTACCGATTTTGTTATTTTTTTCTATCGATTTTGTTATTATTGAGCACTTTACCAGAAATGTTAAAAAATAATAATGTTTTAAGTAGAAATAATAATGTTTCCAGTAATTTTTATCGGTTTTGTTAAAAAAATAAAACTGATAGTACATTTCTTTAACCGTATATTAAGGATGTCGCACGATTGGCATAATGTGTCGTTTTCGGTTTTAAATGAGCCTAAAAGGTGGGACCCTTTTAAACGTAAATCCAAGTTGAAGAATAATATATTAAAATAATCATCCATATTTGACCATTTAATTAATTAATTAATCTTAGTCATATTTTTATATATTTTTTAAAAAATTAATTATAATAATTTTAAATATTTATTGTTATTTTTCCATTCCACTATATGTGTGTGTATATATATATATATGGCAAGTCCATTTTTAAAAATTGAAATTTATTTTTCAGTGTTTTATCTATCACACTTCACTAAAATATTGACTAACACGCCCTATTATTCTCTACTATTCTATCAATTTAGATTTTTTCAGAATTTATTTAAAGATCACAAAATTCAACTTAAAACCCATAAAAATGACTTTGATTTATAATCTTTATCATTCGATCAATGTGAAATCAAAATATATAAGTTATCTACTTTTCCTCCATCTTTCCACCATTGAGATATGGAAGAAGATTTTTCAGTATTATAAAATCAAAGGGACCAAAAAAATTACGTTTCAGGAGAAATTCATGAGTTTTCTCATAAAATGAAAAAAAAATCCATCAAGTGGTCTCAGTGATAAAAGGGAAAGTTATTCTCTCTAGAGGTCCTCAGCGGTAAAACAATCAAAACATGAGAAAGTTGAAAGTTGAGTGATAAAATTAAAATTTTTAAAGTTAAATGACCAAAATAAGAACACAAATAAAGTTGAGTTATGAAAAACATAATTTATCCTATTATAAATAATACATTAGCCAATCCTTGCAAGCATAATTTAAGATTTTAAATTTTAGTAATTATAATAGAAAGAATACAAAGATTGAATTGATTGATACAAAGAATACAAAGATTGAATTATGAAAAACATAATTTATCCCACATGCTTTATATGGGCACTTTTGCCTAATAAGGGTGGTTACTACCTGATGAGATTTACTTTCTTCATGGACTAGAATGATTAGCTCCACTAAGGGTGGTTATTAAACATTGATTTGATTGATTGATACTTTTGTGCCGAAATTACAAATTAAACTGTGTGGAAACCCAACTTAGCAACCTTGATTACATATCTCGGGAGGTGCGAACAATTTTGGCCTCTTAATACCAGTTACATTGGATTCTCAGAGCTGTTTGCTCATTCGCTCACAAGCGGCACCAGCAGCACCACCTTTAGACTATCACAACCTTGGTCCCAGGCAATAGTCAGAGACCGTCTAGCACTCTAGCTATGGCAAAAAGGAACACTTCAACAATATATTGACATACAATATCTGCAATATTGATGACCACGCATGGAAGACAAGGGTTTCAAAAACTTGCCTCCGACAGTGTTTGTTGTAGCTAAGGATAAGCAGTGGCAACTATCTCCCAGAGTTCCCCCAAACACTTCAGTGGGACAAGATTTCCTCACTTACAATAGCCCCCAGTGAAGTGATCAGGGGAACTCCAGGGAACACCTGACCTCTCCTTTCTCGTACCAACATTTTGCACGCAGGGTTCACTTCACTCTATATAGGCAAGGTTCAATAAGCTTAGCTTTCACGTTGTTGGAATTGAACATGCCCAATGTTTGAGGCAAAATGAAGGGTATACCAATAGAATAAAGCTGGAAAGAGACATTTGGTTGATTGTACAACAACAATCAACGGACACCACTTGGATTCTTTTACCTCCCATTTATCCCATACTAGCGTCTATGTTCACTTGCCACGGACTTCTCTCTTGCTGAATGAAACAATCAGCACAACCACTGAATTAAAAGTTGATTAGCAATGTTAATTGGCATTTCAGTTAGACCATAAGCTTCTATCTGTGAGATCTTAAACATGATTATAAATTGTGAAAAATATACAAACATCGTAGAATACACAGGTTGCCAGATTTTCCTTTATTGGGACAATTAATCCTCTTTGCGAATACCATTTGTATGTGTAATAGAGATAGCTTGTCTCCTGGTCCTGGTTGCTTCATGTGGAAGCATCTGCTGATGAACCTCAATTGTTTTCAGTATTGCTGATTGTTTGGTTTGATTCCTGTGAGACAGAATATGTTCGGATAACTCCCTTGGGGAAAAAATAATCTAGACGCAATAACAGACTAGATACATCCTTGGGAAAGATTTTCAGGTCAATAAGTTGCATAAAATTCTAGCCCTAAGTATGTTTATTCTCCATCCAGCATTTCTTTCTTCACCCCCATAGAATCCTAGTTGTTAAACATTCATACAGGCAACTCCTAGATAAACATTCATGCAGATATATTGAAGTTACTACGAGCAATGCATGAATACAACACTTTCTAAACTACGACAATGACATAAGTGTAGGAAAAGTGTGGGGAGAACTCAAATCCACAGCTCGAGAATATTCTCTATCTCATCATCTCTAATCCCCCAAACGCCATGATCAAATAACTTCTCATGTATGTATTCTGTTTCGTATCTACTCTGATTGGTTGAAGGGTCAAGGTTACTGAAGTGTTTGGGGGAACTCTGGGTAGCACCAGACACTGATTAGAACGATGAACATACAAAGCCTTAACTATAAAGGCAAGGTTAGTGGATATAATAATCGAAATACATGCATGCAACTGATTAAAATTATATATATATATATATATACACACACATATGTACTCTTTGGATTCAAAGCTTTCAACTTTGAGCCTAATATACAAATATATGTGTTTTTGCTTCAATAAACCATGGCATTTCTCAAACTGTAGAAGGCCTTGAGCTCCATCATTTAACATATTCCATTATAGTTGAATTGATTGTACAGGATATTCTTCGCACAAGTCTGAAGACCAACTTGTAAAAGATCTCTTTTTTCTTTTCTGTGTCAAAATGTCAATATCTTTGTATTGCTTCGTCTGCCATAAATAAGACACGTATTTACAACAGTGTGGCAGTGGTGGCCATTGTTAACATGGGAACAGTGTGAATGAGGGCTCTATCTCTATCTTCCTGCCACTAATAAAGTTAATCCTTTGTAATCTCTCATGGCACCAAACTAACTGATCCGAGTTTATTTTCGACATGTTTATCACTCTCAAAACCAATTTCAGTTCAACGTGAGCGATGAACAATGCATGATCTAATAGATTCCCTTGATGTTGTTGCCTTTGGAACTTCTTTATTATACAGTTGGTGCCTCTCTGGATCTCCTTAAGCCTTTTCTCCTTCTGCAATAATATGGGAATGAAAATTTAGAATTCGGATTGATAAAACAAAAAAAAAGAAATGTATTCAAAGAGGTTCAGGGAAACAATTAATCAAACCTTTTGAAGATCTGTTTTAACATCCATCAAGAGATCGAGATCGATAGGGTCATGCGGAGCAACCTGTGATTGAAACGGAGCCTTGGAGGTCGAATTTGGTTCGTCTTTATTGGCTCGGAGGAATTCCCAGAAAACATGCATTGATTCCTCAATGATATCTTTTAGCATCTCACTTGAGACTGCATCTTCCTTATACTTTGAGCAATCATCTGCAAGAGCATATCCAATATTTGTTTTAGAGGCTAAACTTAAAACACATGTTGGAGATTGTATAGACTACCTTTGATAACCGGAACCTGAAGAAGATGTCGAACCAAACATCGGTAGTTGACATAATTTTCAACTCTGGATCCGGTTCGAAACGGTTCGTCCTCTAAGAATCTTTGCAAAATGACTTGAAAACGTTGGAATTCACCAGCAACTTGGTTATACCGATGAACACCAAGGGTGTTACATTCCAACAACTTCTTCACTTGTCCAAATTGCCAATGGAGTATTGTCCAAGAAAGACATATTTGTCCAACATAGACTGTCTCAGAGTCATTGTGCAAACCTCTAATCAACTTCGTGGTTGGGTCAGCTCCAGCCTTCCTTCGTCTGAATGACAAGGCTTTATGAAGTGACTTAATTGCTGGTGCTGAAGATTTTGCAAGTGTGCTCAGTTGAATCGGTACATCTTTTAGTTGAAGTAAACCTAAGTAATCACATCCAACAAGGGGGATTTAGAATCTTAAGACATGTTCTTTTAGGGTACCTTAGAATCTTAAGACATGGGTTGATAGATATCATCGGATGGCTTTAAGAGAGCACAATCTAACAATGAATATGCACCTCTAAGAGAGAACAATCTAATGGCATCATGGATTTGTGAAAAGAAATTGGATGCACATTTGTTAGTGAAATAGTGATGGGAGTAAAGAGGGGATAGAGACCCACCAAGCAATTGAGTTCTTTCAAAATATCTCTTTCTTAAAAGGAGAAAGAAGACAATAGCCTCCATAGGTTAATAAATATGGGAAGCTAGGTGGTATCTTATGCTATTTGAAGCCCTTAGATTATATGAGACAACATGGACCCAAAATTATTTGATTAATGGTCTAGAACGATTGCAATTGTTAAAAAGGTTAACTTTTAATTTTGGTCCCTCTATCATACATAAATTTGAATTTAGTCTTTCTAATTTAATTTGATACAATTCTAGATAGAAGACTGTTTACAAGTTTTTTTTTCTTCTTAAAACACCTATTCTAACTTATTATGTTTATATGGATTTTTCAAGGTAAAGTAAATTAGAGGTCACTGAACTATTCTCAAATAATAGTTTTGGTTACTGAACTCTTAAAAGTTACAAAATAATCGTTAAATTTTATCGAATTATTATAAAATGATCATTAAATTTTATCAAACTTTTACAAAAATGGTGACTAAATTCGTCAAACTTTTACACTTATTACAACATTTCAGTGACCATTTTCTAATAAATTGATAAATTTAATGATCGTTCTATAAGTTTTGAAAGTCAAGTGATCAAAATGATTGTTTGTGTACAGTTCAACGACTTTCGATGTACTCTACTTTTTTCACAATGGAAGCAAATTAAAAAATACGATCATTTTAAACCAAAAGGGTTAATGGTGTTGTCTATTTGAATTATATTATTAAAAATAGAGAATCAAATTATGTTAGATTAAAATATTGTGATTAAATCTCAATTTTAAGCATATTAGAAGGACCAAACCATAATTTGGCCTTTAAAGTCATTAGCTTTTACGGTTCAGTAAATCCTTACTCTGAAATGATACTAACGTCAATATTTTTATCATTAGTACAAATTATTTCACTTGACACCAGTGTCAATTTTAACATGCTTAAGTATATAAGATAAAATTATGAGTAGATTTAGAGATTGCATAAAAAAAATGAAGAATTCAAAAACTTTAATAAAAAAAAAGGTAATTAGTAGTAATACTTACTGATTGCATGCATGGTCTGGGAATTCAGAATGTCAAGTTTCCTCATCTTATGAGAGTAGCTCTTGTAAACCTGTTGGATTTCAGCAATATGATGTTTGTGATCATATCTTTCGTCAATTTGCAGTGGCCCAATCACCATCTTTGGGGACTCGAAATCTTCGAAAATAGTAGCAAGTCCACCTGTTCTCGCAATCTTCACTTCCATTTTCAGCCGCTCCATCAAATCATCATCATGCTCCGAACCAAACTCTGAATCTTCATCTTCTTGCATGTTTCTTCCTCTGGTCTTTACTGGGGAAACCATTGGGTCTGCTTCTTTATCATCTTTTTCAGACTGTGTTTCTCCATGATTGATTGGCCCTTTAAAGACTGTTGTTTTGTCACATGGAATCCTCGTGTTCCGTTCATGGTTTTCGTGTTCCACGTTTTCTTGGCGCCATTTTTCCAAATACTTATCAATTACGGAACTCTCAAAAAAGTCATCAGTTTTCTCTGAAACAAGTTGATTATCTTCAGTTTCAATCTTCGCAATGAAATTCTCAACTGATTCCTTTGTTTTTTCTCTAACAACATATTTGATGTCTTGCTCTGGCTGCTCGATAGTTCTTTCAACAAGTGAATTCCTGAAAAAATCCTCTTCTTCTTCTTCTTTCATATGTTTCTCAAAGTCGAAACTCTTTTGAAAGGAAAACCTCAGAGCACATTCCTCTGTTTTGTCTTTGTAAACAGCATTTGCTTCCTCTGCTCTCTGCACCTCAACCTCGACGTTCCCAATATCAGCACCGACAGAGTCCGATGAATCAAGGATTCCACCATTGCAATCGGCAGAGTCATTTGAACCCATATAGAGCTCATGCATGGTAAAGCTCTTTGTCTTTGATTCTTCAATGAATCCACTAATACTTTTTCTATACATAAACTCATACTTGCTAGTGCTCGCCGCCATGGCAGAACTCTCTCCTCTGTTTCCTTGGTCAACGACATGATCATTTCTATGTCTTTCGTTGAACTCATAAAAGTTTGAGCCCAAATCCTCAAGGTATCCATTGATTGGCAACCTGGAAAAGACCCGAACAAACAGAGACAAGCATTAACTAAAAAGGAAATATAACACTTTAAAAAGAAAAAACATAAAACAGAGAGGTAATACCTGAAGAATGATTCAATGAACTTGAAGAGAAAAACCCAGAAGGAATTAACGACTCGAAACACAAAAACGAAATCAAAATGGATTATTTTCAACATGATGAATCTGTTGGCACCCATTGATTCGATCAACCCTCTCATTTCTCGATCTTAAGCAAAGCTACAAAAGAAGTAGGACGGTCCACTTGTTAAGAAAGTGGAATCTTTGGAGCTAAGTTGATTGACGAAAGGCGAAAACTTTGGCCAGGACATTTATTTTAGACAAATGAAAAAAAGAAAGCTAATTGTCTAACGGGAAAAATGATATATGATTTATTTATTTTTATAAAATTAAAAGTTACAAATTAATATAATGATAAAATTATATTTTATTTGTGAACAAAATTTATAATAAAGTTTAACTTCAATTTTTTTTATGAATTAATGTTAGAACTCTTTGTTTGAGTGAAAGGCTCTTTCTTTTTGATGAATTATATTATGGGATTTGGTCGGTGTTTGGAGTTAAAGTTTTCTTTTCTTTTTATAACCATTTATAAAGTCTATTTTAATTTTAACCCAACGTGGGAATTTGATAAATATATGAGATCATTTTATTAGGTAACAAATAACTTCATCAATAGCGATAAAAGCTTGACCTGTTAACATCAATCTTTAGTTAGCGCTTAAATTCATATGGTAATTAAAATATTTAGAGTACGTTTGATTTTAAAAATAAAAATAAAAAATATTTTTATTTTCTAAAAAATTATTATAAAAAATATATTTAGTTGTAAAATTAGATGACTTTTAAGGAAGGCTGTTGGGAGCTAGGATATTACAAAAACATCGGTGCATGCTCTGTATTAGGGGCTGAATTATGGGGAGTGTTGGAAGGACTCAAGAATATATGGGAAAACGGGAGCGAAAAAGATTATAATTAAGGTTGATAACATGATTGTGTGGAAGAACCTGAAAGAAAAAACTACTTCAGCAATAGAATCAACACTACGCTATCATATCGACGTACTTATGAAGAGAAAATGGGAGATTAAGATTGGCCATACACATCGGGAGGGAAACCGAATAGCAGACGGAATGGCCAAATTGACACAAGGCGAATCAACTTTACAACACAAAGTACCTGTACCTCCGGTAGAACTACAGGAGTTGGTGCGTAAAGAGAGCAGCAATTGGAGAAATTAGGATAGACATTCACATTCCTAGTTACCGGAAGGAAAATAAACAATATTTCCATTAAAATTGTTTTGAAAATTTAAAAACAAAAACACATCATTTAGAATTTTAACTTAACTTACACGAGTTTTCTAACAACAATTTTTTGATTTAATGGTATCTGAAAATCTCAAATTTTTACATAAAAATCAATGTGGTCCCTCAATTTTTTTTACTCTCAATGGGATCTTTGAACTGGTTTTTTTAATAATTTAATTCTTTAGTGGTTTTATATAAGTAATTTAAAAAAAATTAAATAAGTCTTCAAACATTCTAAACAAATCAATTAGGCCCTTGCACTTTGTTAAATAATTAATTAAGCACATCTACCACATCATTATCCATCTTGTATTATCATGACAACATCGTGAACTATCACATCAACATTATAAATTGTCATGTAAGCTTTATGAACTGTTAAGTAAGTGTCCTTACTATCAACGTTTGATTTCGTTGATCAAAAGATTAAATTGAATTTTCTTAGTTTAAAGATCACACTGAGTACAAGAAAAAAAATTATGGGCTACCCTAATTTTTTTTCCACAAAAGTTTGAGGGCCTTAAATCCACGAAATATATTTTATTTTAATGAAACTTTTGTCTATTTTTAATTTAATTGATGTCAAGTATGCATTAATATTATATTCTTATTATAAACTAAAATAATTTTTGTATTATGAAATTTCTCATTAACTTTATTGTTTTATATTTTTATAACTCGTTTTTTAAATATATGTAATGAATATTTTTAATTATTATATTTTAATTTAATTATTTAATAACTATTTGTTCATCTCTATTTTGAAAAATTAGATATCGAATATTTTTTCACTGTTTTTATTTTTAAATTCAAGTTTTCATTTATATTAATTAAACATGTTTTCTAATTTAAAAAACAGAAAATAAAAATTATTTTCTGAAAATAGAAATATAAAATATTTTCTAAAATCGAAATAACCCTTAATATTTTTAATGAATAAGTATTATTTTCAATGTACATAACACTTTACTTCAAAAATAAAATCTGAAAAGAATCGGAAACTTGTGCATAAGGTTTGATTTTTCATTGGATGATATTGTTCTCCGAGCATGTTTCACGACAAGAATCCTTGTATTTTCATTATAACGTTTAAGGTTAAATATGCCATGGCACGTTTCATGACAAACATCAATTGCCAATGGAAAAAATAATAAACACTAATTGTCTTCTTCTTATATTGCATTGGCTCTTGTTTGCCAAATGGCAATACTTTATACAGTACAATAAATATAAGAGTGTCTATATATATATATATATATATATATATATATATATATATATATATATATATTGTAATCGGCAGCTTATGCCTTTCTCCTTGTTTTTATTTTTAAGCTCTAAACCTTTTTATTTTAGGAAATGAAATAAAACATATGATGAGTATAGGTCAAGATAAGTCAATTTTTTTACCAAATTGAATCTACTTCAAGTGTTTTACTTTTTCATTCGTTATTAGATATGATTTGTGTTTAAGAAAACTTAATTTGATCTGATTTTGGAGTAATATATATATACCTAATATAAATATTATATATAAGAAAGATTTGGAAAAAAAATATCACTCATCCAATGATTATTGATATCAGATAGATTTGAATATAGAAAAGGAAGGAATTAAAAATCTAGAACCGGCCAAGGGACCAGAGGTCTACCAATGGGGAATGGGCACATATTCCTAGCGTCATAATGTAGCCTTAGCCTGGGAATCACAAGGGAGAATTGTTCTCCTCAAACAAATATCCATCACTCGGCAAAGATGCCAATTCTCTACAAACGGGATGGGTTAATAGTTATGCGATCTGTTAATATAATACATAAACACTTAATTTTAGAGATAAAAAGAATTAGGGATTAATATGTACAAAAAATTACTAAGGATTAATGTGTGAAAGAGAATCAAATTCAAGGACTAAATAAAATATTGATCCCTTTCATATTTAAATGTAGGTCGAATTGAACTGATTGGACCGAGTGGGTCATCGGAGCCATGGTCATCAGCACTCGCCGACTTGGTTTACTCATTAAATCCCATCCGATGCGGCCTTTCAATTGTTCAACTTAAATTGCACGATTCAGGTCGGTGTTGCGTGTCATTTTCTTCCCAAATTATTCATTTTACAAAATTATATTCATTTCTTTTTACTCAAATTCCGCTTAGTATTATATGACTTTTCAATGTTAATGTACACACCTCAACAACAACAACAACAACAACAAAACCCAATTCCCATATGTATGGGGTAAGGGGGAGGTAGGGTAGTAGGCTACCCCCAACGCCAGGTTGAGAGTAACTTCCGTGGAAGACCTCCGGCAGTCAGAAAATTAAAAATTTAGATAAAATGCAATGCATGTATAAATAAATACATAAATACATAGCTAAACAGTATTCATATGCAGTCATTAAAATCATATGTGCGTCTGTAACGGGAATTAATCCCTGCATAATTATCCCTGCGAAAGAATCTCTGCATATAGACATAAACATAAGATAAGATCCGGCTAAATTTAAAAGAGGAAACATGAAGAGAATGATACACACCTCATGGACATAATATTATATAATGCAATTTATGAAGTTAATCCCACTATTTTATTTTATCAAAAGTTTAATGTCTGTATTTTATAAAAGTTAAGTAGTTAATTTTAGGCATAAGGCTAAAATTAGTCCCCCAATGTTTATCAAATTGGTCATTTTGTACCATATTATATTTTTAAAACATTTTAACTTTCAACATTTCATTTTAGGACAAAAAGGCCCCAAACATTTGACATAATAATCAAATTTTATCTTATTCTTTTTTTTGAGCATTTTAACCCTCAACGTTTTATTTTAGGTTTAAAAAAAACTCCTAGTTTGCAGCGGTAATAGTGTGTTAACTAATTATTTTCATTTATAAAAGGAACTTTTTTCCCCAAAGTCAAACGTTAGGGGCTAAAATGCTCAAAGAAAAAGAATATGAGTCAAAATGATCATTTTGATAAATGTTTAGGCTACTTTTGGTATTATGTCTTAATTTTATCGTTGGTAAACACGTAAATTTGAGCGGTTTATTTTAATTAATTATACATGAAAATTATTTAAATATTAATTTAAGCCAATAATTTAATAAAAACAGTCGGCAATGTTAATTAGGAAAAAATATTCATAAAATAAAAAAACTAAATCCTAAAAAGTGAAGAAAAAAAATGAATTCCTTAATTCACGTAAATTAGAAGTGTAAGTAGGGATGGTGATTTGAACCCAATGATTTCAGAAATGATCCAATCAAATCAATTTTTATTTTAAAATTTTAAACTTGGGTCGAATAAAGTTCGTAAAATGTGAGTTCGATTTGGAGTCAGATTTAAGATAAAGAAATCGATTCAACCGACCTAATATAATATTATAATTATCATTTATATACTTAAGGATAGTTATAACATTTATTTCTAGTTGTAAGTTTTTTTTTTTTTGATACATTCTAAATCCAAATTGAATCTGAGACCTGAAGAGTTTTAATTTTCAAATCAAATTGGGATAGACTAAAATTCTCATCCAACCTAACCGGTTGTCATCCGTACGTGTTAGGCATTTTGCAAATGAAAGAAACTATTAGACTAGGAGTAGGTAAAAATAAATATGTCGGGCCTAAACAATGCCTTGTTTGCTTGATTTAGACCTAAACGATTTGAAAACATTTAAAGAACATTGGGCCTAATCTCACGCCACTGCCCCAATCCTTCTCTGGCTCTGCCTTCAACCTTTGCTGCTTTTTAAGTTCCAAAATTGGTTCTTTTTTGTATATTTAAACTTGTTATATGTTTTTAATTAATAACATTAATTGGTTTTATTGAATAAAAATAAAAATTATATAAAATCTAAAATAGACTAATAGCATTAATCAAGCATTTTTCATCAAAGAAAACAAACTAACGGTTAAATAACAATATCATATAATTAGATAGTACACAATATTACAAACGAAAACAATAGGTGACAATGAGTTGGATAATAAATGGACGACACCATCATCCTAAATAAATAATGAAAAAAAAAACTCTTAACAGAGCAAAATAATTAAATTTGTTAAATACTTAGTCACACATTTTAGAAGCTTAACTATCATCCTACACGATCAAGGTTTTTCATACCAACAATCAATTAATATAGTAATATAAAATATTACTTTAAACAAATTTATAAATTCAAATTATAATATTATAAATAAAATAAATCATAATCCTTATGTTACCGGATCCAAATTAAATAAACTTTATATTACCTTAACTAATCAAACACTGCTTGCCTTTAAGGAGAGAGATTAGCAGACAGAAATAGAAATGTTCAAATCTATATCATCCATCAAATTAGTAAAAAAATCATGGAAAACGACGAATTAGAAACAATAAAAAAATGTAAAAGATTTGGGGTTAAGTCATTTAAGGTATACCAAACTCAAAAGCAGAGATTACTGTTTGCATATTCAGGACATCACCTAATTTGAACGAAACCAGCAGCTTTTGGACAAATTAAGACAGATTAACAGATAATTTAAAACTAAAGGCAACTATCACCTCTAAGATACAAAACAAAGAATCATGTTATAATATGTCTAAATAACAATGACAGAAGTAAACTCCCTTCAATTGTTATCCTCTTCCATTAATATTAGATCGAAGAAGAAGAAGTAACAAGAAAGCCAACTAAAGCTTGTTGAATTCTATAAATTTTTTTGGTTTAATTAGGATGCAGAAGAAGACCCATTGTTAGTGACATGAAGCTGAATACAATACTCATTGTTGTTGTGGGTGTCACTATTGGAATTAAAGCTATTTCCAGCATTTCCATTTCCATTCCCATTATCATCTTCATTGTTGTCTCCACTAGTACTGGTGGTGGTGGTGGTGTTATCAAGATTGAGGTTACCGACAGCTAACATGTCTTTCTTACCAAAAGTATTCTTGTTGTTGTGCATCCAGACCTTGAGAACCCCTCTATCGACTCCGACTTCATTGCAAATCTCTTTAACCAGTCTTTCCTCTCCCCTTGGCATCCTCCAACCGACCCTCTCTGCAAAAGCATGCATCTTTTCTTTCTGTTCTTTGCTGAACTTTGTCCTTGACCTCTTTCGAGTGTTGGTGCTGTTGTTTTTGTCTGTGACTTCAGCCCTCTGATGATGATACGCATCCAACGGCGGCCCTGAGTAGCCGGTGCTCAAGGCCAGAAGCATGTGGGGTGCAGAAGAGTAGTAAGAGTAAGGGACAGGTGAGGGTGGGGTATGGGTTGGGCTGTTCGTTGGGCTTGGACTTGAGCTAGGAGGATTAGGCAGTGGTGGCGGTGGCAGTTGGTGGAGGAAAGCAGGACCGTCATAAGGGTCACGGCGGTGGAAGTTACGGTGGCAACCACAGGCGGCACATTTGAAGGAACCAGGGTTCGTTGGGGTAGGCATGAACTCGCCACAACCATCAAGGGCATGTCCACCCAAGCTAGCAGCATGGTTTTTGAGGCACTCTTTGTAGGAAACCACCATTGGCTTCTGATGGATGAGGAGCGATAAAGACTTGTTGTTGGGGTGTGTCTCTGATGAAGACTCGGATTGTGCGTACGGGGTGGTTTTAGTGTTGTTGATTACCTCCATTTTTCTAAAATCAAGGTGAAAGCTTGATGGAGGGTGAAAACTGGAAAGGGTGGACCTTTTAGTGGGGTTAGGGTTTTGCTAAAGCTCAAGAGAATTTTTCTTTAGCTTGGTCTAGGAGTGGTGAATATAGATAGGGTTGATCTGATTATGATGATGGATTGTTACAATGACAAGTTATTGCACTCTCACCCACTTAACTTCATCTTTCAGGAACCTAATCACCCAGTTTTATGAACAAGATTCAAACAACAGTGCCTACAACTCGCTGCGAGTGTTTGATGGACAAATTTCATATATTAAACCTTATATTTATGTTATGATAAAAAAAGTTATAAAGGATTAAGGGTAGGGGCCATTGGAAGGCATCCCCTCTCCTCTGCTTCCACGTGTTAATCGAAAAGTAAAAGCAAGACAAGCCATGTTTTTATTATTATTATAAATTTTCTTTTCCAATAATAAACCTATTCTAATTCTTTCGTGTATTTTAAAGATAAACTATAGATTAACAGAACATGCATGTGTCGTGTAATGTTTTTATCCTTTTCCCTACAATAGGCGGTTATCTTTCTTCACATTGATTTTCTTAATATTTTTTCAGTTTGTTATTTTTATTCTCGAGGAATAAAATCAAACGGATTATTGAGATAATGTTTCTGCTTTATTAAGATTTTTAAGATCACATTAAAATTACGTAAATGGTTTGTAAGATAACGTTTCTTAATATGTATTTTTAACCCAGTTTGTTGCTTTAAGAGACTTACGCTATTCAACAAAAATAATTCTAATATTATAATCTCAGAGTACAATTCAACTAGTAGAACCTATAATTACCTGTTCATGACTAGAATAGAATACAATAAATTCATGAATCAAAGACTAGAGTACCACATAGATCAACGATAAGGACAATTAAGCTAGAACGTCGGCAGGGATGGCTTGATCGGCTCCTTTCCTAATGAAAACATATTAGTTGTGGTCTGTTTTTGTCTTTTATGTTTTGCAAACTCACCACAATCATTGTTCTTCAATCATGCTTTTTTATTTAGAATCTAAGAAACAAATCTAATAGCCACAATTAGATTAGTGGAGAAGAGAGGCATCAAAATCAAATCTCTTATTTCTAAAACTTCGGCATAATCACATTCTTTGCTTTTCCTAATCTTGAGAGAGGAGGATACGAGTCTTAATCACTTTCAGGGCACGAAAAATGATAAGACATGGATTCCAAATTAAGCTATAAAAGACAATTCAATGTTCAAAGACACTAGGATTAAGCTATAAAAACAATGTCTTAATCACAATCATGTCATAATTCATCAAATAAGCACGCGCATTAGTATACTGTCGAAACAAAGACTTCCATTCCAGCTTTGGGTTTTGTCAGTTTCTACCGTTGGTTTGAAATTAGGGATGTGTATAGACAAGGTAGGTCGGTTTTTCATCACTTTAACCTTCACCTAAAATATGAATTTATAAAATTAAGTCAAATCAAAATTTATTATGTTCAATCAATTTAATCATCTTTGATTAAAATAGTAATTACTTTGAATTAAACTATTTAAAAAATATTTTCTAATTAATTGTTTACACGATTTTGATAATCAAAATCAAATTTATAAATAGACAATTCAATTAAAGTTACAAGATGTTTGAATTAAATATTGATATGTTTGAACTTGGCTAACCCATTGACTTCAATGGAATTGAATTCGATATTTTTTATCAAATTAATTCGTTCAGATGAGTAAGAATAAAACAGCTGTAAATTATTATTATTTTTCTCTCCTTGACGCAGACCCTGCAACTGGCGTTTATCAGAACAACCAACAAGAGGATTATTGTCCCAATAATGGGGCATTTGTTGCCATGTCCTAATTGAGGGGGTTGGTTTTAAGGACTCAAAGTGCCCAAATTCAATGCCTATGACAGCTAGTAGGACTAGAAGTGGCCCTTAATTTCCCTGCCTTTAATTTCCTTGCAGAAACACCTCGTGTTCTATCAATCTTCCCCACTCTTTTTTAATCTATAGAACCAGATTCCATGGTCCACTACCACTAATACTATAAGTGAATTGGACCCCCACAAGACCCCCTGCTTTATAGTATATAGGGAGTACAGTATATTAGAAATTATTAAATTGTATTTAAATAAATATTTTAATTAATATTTTTTAATTAATCATTGGTATTCTGTCTATTGACTGACTAATCCAGATCGAGTACTACAGAGGTAAGGGCGACTCTCCCGACCCAGTTTGCTCCATTCACAAATGTAAAGGTTCGAACCCCTGACTTTGCTTAAAGAATCTAATACCTCATCTCAGTATACCAACTGGTTGTTCGTTTAATCAATAAATTTTTAAATACTATAAAATGATGATAAAATTCATTAAATTATTATAAAAAGAACTCAGTAAGTTATAAAATAATAATAAATTTTGATAAATTTAAAAATAATTTTATAATAGTTTAATAATTTTAATTATTACTTCATAACAGTTTAAATTTTTTAATAATTATTTTATAATATTTATAGATCAATATTTTTAACATATTTCAATGATATCAGATATATCCTTATATTTATTATCACAATTTACAAAATCCTTTTAGTTTGGGAGTTAGGGGTGGATCACCAGCATTCACCTAATCGCATTTATGTGCTTCTATCAAATACTACTCGAGAAGATAATATTTTTTTCAAAATTAAAAGGGAACAGAATATTGAATATCTTGAGAGCCTCCCGTAGGGTAAAATGAATATCAAGATCGAGATCGGATTTGGATTTGGATTTATCCGAATAGGTTTCGGGTTACTGATGGCCCAAGTCATGATGTAGCACGGCCAAATTGGCCCATTACAGCTCCCCGGTAAATTATTTAGCCCATTAGGGCACCCAAACTTTTAATTTGGAATCTACGGCAATTGCAACCGTCCCCATGGAACTCGTCATGCCGGCGTGACGAATTCCATGTGATATAATTTTTTTAATAGATTGTGTTAGGTGGGCCCCACAGCCTGATTAAAAAATAAATTTCAAGAGGGACTCCTCACGCCGCAGTGTTATGAGTCCCAATAAAAAATAATATTTTTAAAAGAAAAATAAAAAAATGATATTTTGTGGACATGAAACTTGTCACGCTGACGTGACGAGTTCCAACGACTATAATTTTGACTTTTTTGACCGTTGGATTGAACGTTGTTTAACAATCGATTTTTTTTAATTTCAATGGAACTCGTCACACCGGCGTGACGAGTTCCAACAACTATTTTCAGTTTGAAAAAAATAGTCGTTGGGTAGAGTAGTATAAATAAAGGTTTGGGTTGGATAGATTTTTCACTTGTAAATCAAACATTCTACTGAGAGCAAAAACTTTTGTGTTAGAAGAATTTTAGTTGAAATGGCATCAAGAGATGAAATGTTACGTCTTGATGAAGTTCATATTTCATCGATCGAGTTGGCAACGATAAGTTTAATTTGTTTTATTTCATTTTAGTTTTGACAAAATTATAGCATTAATAATAATTATTTTATGTAATTGTATTAAATAATTTATTTTCAAATTGTAGTAAGAAGAACGAACCATTCGTCATCGAGGAATAACGAATGAAGAGCCACATAAGCGGATGGTGATATATCTTTAATAATCCGGATTATATGGAGCAATGTTTCTTCTCGGATTTAAGGTGATGTCGGCACTGATATCGGCGTTGATTGAGCATTGGAGTCACGAAATACATACGTTTCATTTACCTTGTGGTGAAATGACGATAACTTTGGAAGATGTCGCATATCAACTTGGTGTTCCGATTAATGGTATGTCATTGGTGCTTCGCAACACTTTTGAGGTAAATGTTCTTATTTCAAATTTATTGGGAAATGAGGCTCCAACCAATTTCATTGATGGGTTACGGGTACAGATGACGTGGTTGGAAAGCAAATTTAGAGTAGATGAGCAATCAACGGAGCAAGAGGTGATATATGCAGCTCGAGCATATCTTTTGAGGTTGATTGGAGGGATCTTGCTACCGGATAAATTGGGCAATTTGGTGCACACCCAATATCTTCCGGTAATGGAGGATTTCGCTGTATATCGCCAATATAGTTGGGGTTCTGCAATTTTGGTGTTTTTGTATCGTGAACTATGTAAGGCGACTGTAGTCGTTAGAGGAAAAAAGCAAATGTTGTGGGTTGTTTAGTTTTGCTCCAATCATGGACATGGTATCGCCTCCCGTTTATGACGCCTATTACATCCACTCCTATGGAGTTTCCTCTCGCTGTAAGGTAAATTCATATATTTAAAGTTTTGATCTTTTATAATATTTATTTAAATATTTTGAAAATGAAAATAAATAACGTAATTTTTTTAGATGGTGACACTGAATAATCGATACAAAGTTGTCGGGTTCAACGAAATTAGATATTCAGATGAGAATTGATATCGCCGGTAGACATACGGTAAATTTTCGTATTTTTTGCATTAACTTTTAAATTGTAATATTAATTATTTAATTATACTAACATAATACTTTTGACAGTTTAATTGAATGTCTTATTATGAGTTAGATATCCAATGGTGTCTACCGCCAATGTTCTTTTAAGGAGCGAACTCATGGTGTGCCATAACACCATTCCTCCATTTTGCAATTGTTGAGATCCATGCCGCCGATAGAGTTTTGCGACAATTTGGGTTTCACCAACCGATAGAAATATCAATATATAACAATGACGATTTGCACAAAGTAGATATGCGTGGGAAGCATTCTGAAGATTGGCCGAGGAAGCATGCTACATTCATATATGAATGACAAAATAGACACTTACGATTGCCTAATCTTTCCGAGCTACAACCCAAAGATTTTATTTCAATGTTTCTCCCTACCTCCAAAATTTTGAAGCAAATAGGAAATCATACTTGACAACGACGGAGGAGCAGTCCGAGTGGGAAATAATGATGGGAAAATATGGGAAAAATCATCATCTTCGTCAACAGCTTCATCTTATGCTTTCGCCAATTATTATCCATCGCAAGAAAGTTATGGTGGATATGGTGCATATCAACTATCGATATAGAGTCGAGCGGCGTGAGAAGGAAGTGGGTGGGATCAAATGCCACCTTCACAACAATTTTACTCAGAACCGAAAGAAATAGGTCTATGGGATCATCTTCTTCATCACGAACAATCTCAATTTGAGGCGATGACGTCAATGATGGCATTAAATAC